CTGCTTCTTAGGCTGGGTCTTTGTCAACCCCTCTCTGAGCGTCTGTCTGCCCTTCCCCGCTCGCTGGACCTCTGCCTCCCTTGCTCTTGGGGTCCCGGCCCCCCTGGGTCTCTGTCTCCATCCCTCCAAGCCCTCACGATCCTGTGTCCTCTTGGGGGTCCGGCCAGCCTGACGCTGTTCCCTCCCCCAGGCTGACTACTTGCTCCAAGATTATCCTGTCGCCGTCGCCTCCAACCTGCAGAAGGTGAGTCATGACGGGAGGGGCTGGGTGAAGGTGAGAGCCAGAGACGCCAGGTTGACACCCTTCTAGGAACCTGGCAACCTTACCCACTCAGGCCCCTCCTCCCGCGGACCCAGGAGTCCAGGCTCCCAGTCCCCTCCTCCCTCTGGCCCAGGAGTCCAGGCCCCCAGCCCCCTCCTCCCTCCGACCCAGGAGTCCAGGCCCCTCCTCCCCTAAGCCAGAGTGGGGGCTGTCTCCCCAGGATGAGCTCTGTGGGGCGCTCTGGCGGCTGGTCCTGGCACGGCGCTTGCTGTACAGCCTACAGACCGTGGCAGGGTCCCAGATGCGCTCTCTGCTGCAGACTGTGGACAAGGAGATAGACTTCGTGACCTTTTGTGCCTTCCAGGTCAGCCTTGAACTGTGCGCCTGTGGTGGTGGTGTAGTATGTGTGTGTAGGTGGTGGGGGGCTGGGGGGAGAGCAAGATGCCTTCCTCCGGTTGTGAGTCATGCTCTTGCGCCCCTGAGCAGCCCGCAGGAGGTGGACCCTGGGGCCCCCGCGGTGTCGTGGGAATAAAGGGCATTTCTCCAGATGTAGGAGGACCATGGCCATTTCTATTGGCCCATTTCCTCTGGCTCTGCTTTGCTGGCCGTTGCTAAGGGGTGTTTCCCCCTAGCAACCAGGGAGCAGCAAGCCTGACTGAGCCCTTGCCCCGGCTGCTAACTGCAAAGTCAGCAGTTCGAAACCACCACCTGCTCTGTGGATGAAAGATGAGGCTTCCTGCTGCCGGAAGGATTTACTGGGGGCACTTCTAGTTTGCCCTGTTGAGTCGTTATGCGTCAGAATTAAGTCAATGGCAGTGAAGGTTTTTGTGTTTTTAGTTGCTGGGCGTTGCTAAAGTATATTTCTCTCTAGCAACCAGGGAGCACTGAGTAACCAAACCTCTCAGACCCAGGCCCAAATAGACCCGTGGACTCATGTTGTTAAGGCATGATTCTCCCTAGCAACTGGGGAGAGTTAGGTAGGGGAATCAGGCCTCTCTTAGCGGCTGCCAGACAGGATGGGCCCTAGGCCTGAGAAGCTGAGCTGCGCCGGTGGTGACATCTCCCTCCCCTGCCCCCAGCCACCCCCCAGCTGTCTTCGCTACGTCCAGACCAACATCTCCCACCTCCTGCAGGACACCTCGGAGCAACTGAAGATTCTGAAGTCCAGGATCCAGAAAGATAATTTCTCTCAGTGCCTGGAGCTGCAATGCCAGCCGGGTAAACTCGCCCAGACCCCTCTGCCAACCCCACCCCTTATCCCACCACCCACCAACCCTGGAGCTGCAATGCCTGTGGGTAAATGCACCCAACCCTCAAACCTTGCCCACCAGCCCTGTCTCCTCCACCAGCTCCTCCCCTCCTCCTAATCCCTCCTCCCACCCCGCCCCTCCCCTTCCCCTCCTCCTCTTCCAACCCCTCCCTGCAGCCTTTCCCCACCCCTTCTCTCCTAGTCCCTCCAGCCCACAGGGCTGGTGACTCTGACCACACCCTGCTGCCCTTGGGCTCCCCTCCGTTTAACCGTCTCTGAATACCGATGGCATCGGCTGTTAGCATGATTGGTTACAAACTGGCAAGGTCAGCAGTTTGAAACCACCAGTGGTTCTGAGGGAGAAAGCTGAGGTTGTCTACTCCCATAGCGATTTTCCGAGACCCACAGGGTTGGTTCTACCCTGTGAGTCCAGATTGACTCCAGGACAATGAGTGTAGGTCTTTTTTAAACCCGTTTTCAGGGTTGACCCCAGGTCATCCCCCGATCAACTGGCATCAGTGCGACTCCTTTTTCCTGCCTGAATACTAGTCCCCTGTCCAGATGGGTGATCCTGCGGTGGACCCTTCGTCTGCTTTTTAAAAACCTTTCTTTTTGAGATAACGAGGGATGGTCGGGAAGCCTGGGAGCAATTGTGCAGGAGGGCCCTGTACTCTTTCCCCCCTCCCTGCCCCCCACTCACTACCATCGAATCACAAAGACCCTGTAGGACGAGTTAAACTGCCCCAGTGCGAGACGGTAACTCTTCATGGAAGCGGAGCACACTGGAACACGGCTGGTGGGCTCGAACTGCTGACCTAGCCGTTAGTGGCCCAATCGAGACCACAGGGCTCCTTCACCCCGTCTCCCCCTCCACGTGCCTTAGCAGAGCCGCTTCCTAGCATGAACTCTGGGACACTGTCAAAACCGAGACGACCACGACGTTGTCCTTGCTGGACTCCTGGGTGTTCATTTAGGGTTCGCCAGTGAAAGGCACATGCAACTTCGTCCCTGGGGGGCAGAAAGGGTGGCTAAGAGCTCAACTGCTAGCTGAGAGGTTGGCTGTTCGATCCCAGCCAGAGACAGAGATGCTTAGGAAGACCCAGTCTGTTATTGAAAAGACAGAGCCTAGGGAACCCTATGGAGTGGTCCTGGGCTGGGAGCCATCCCATGACCACAGACAGCAAGCACATTCACTTGCGTGTGTGCCGCTCCATCACAGGTGTGTCTGTGTGTGACCACCACCTCCATCAAGGGCTCTGAACTGTATGTACCACACCTATGGTGAGAGCCCCCCACCCCTCACCTAGCTCACTCGCTGCCTGCAAGTCATAGCAAGCTCACAGCCACCCCATAGGACAGGGTGGAACCGCCCCCTGTGGGTTTCCAAGACGCGAACTCCTTTTTGTGGTTCTTGTTCACCACTTTGTTGGGAGCGCTTACAGATGTCGCCACGTTCCACAACTCAAATAGATGGCTCGTACTTGTACAATTGCTGCAACCACCAGTCTCAAGACACTTGTTTGCTTCTCCAACTCTCTGATATCAGCTCCCCTGTATCCCTTCCTCCCGCACCCCTCCCCCAGGAACCCTTGCTGTTGTTGCATATTATTGTTGTTGTTAATATATATTAGCCGTATCTTGTCTCATCCAATATACCCATTCACTTGCGATTCTGTTATTCACACCCTTTGAGTGGGATTATACAGTTATAATTGCTATCATCCCCCCATTCCCCACCTCCTCCCCTGTCTTCCCATATCCTCAGGGACTCATTACTCCCATTGCTGTTCCTGAAGGGTCATCCATCTTAGGGCATTCCCGCATCTAAGGATCTTAATTATGCACACGAACGTACTTAGGTGTAACAGGGGAGGAAATATTAGAGAAAGAACTCTTGGCAGCAGGACAAAGCCTCATCTTGCTACCTCAAACAGCTAGGGATTTCAGACTGCTGGCCTTGCAGTGCGCAGCCCTACACCACCGGGGCTCCCCAACAGGCGCCAGTTCAATTATAAAGTAACATGTACTGTGCCAAGCCCTGTCCTAAGCGCTCTCTGCACAGGCTCACAGTCTCTTGTGACAGCCCCAGGAGGCAGGGACCATGATGAGCCCCCTTGCATAGATGAGGAGCCTGCTCCTTCACCCAGGCTCCTCTCTCCCTCCAGAGCCTTCCACCCTGCCGCCCCCACAGAGTCCCGGTGCCCTGGGGGCCACGGCCCCCCCTGCTCCCAGACACCCCCTGCTGTTGCTCTTGCTGCTGCCCCTGGTTGCCCTGCTTCTTCTGGCGGCGGCCTGGTGCCTGCACTGGCAAAGAGGGCACACACCACCCTGCTCCAGGGAGCAGGTGAGTTGGACGGCAGGCAGAGGGGGTGGGGAGGGCCTGGGGGAAGGCAGGCCGCCCTGATGCTCTGGCCGCTAACTCCCGTGGGTGCCCAGGTGCGCCCTGTCTCCAGTCCCCAGGAAGAGCTGCCCCTGCAGCCAGCCGAATGCTGATGCCCCCAGGATTTCATCTGGGTGAGTCTCTGGGGCCCATGGGCCTTGAGAGAGCACGGAGGTCATGTCGCGGGGGCAGTGTTAGAAAGACCACACTGGGGATAGGCTGGAGGCAGGAACCCCGAGGGGCACTGGCGTGACAGCCAGGGACGGAAGGATAGGCCTGCGCTCGGGTGATCAGAACTGAGTGTTGGGAGGGAGAGGGGCAGGGCTGGGGAACTGGCAGATGGGGTGGAAGTGGGGTGTGTATGTGGGGGTCTGTAGGCACAGATGACCCCATGTGTGGGTGGGTAGTGAGTGGATAGTGGGTGGTCCCAGATAGAGAATGCAGGGAGGGTGAGGGACTAGGCAGAGAACCGGACTCAGAGGGGATAGGTGGGCACCAGGGGTACCCATGTGGGGGGGACATCTGAAGGGGAATAGGGGTGTAGGAGTCCCTAAGACAGGCCAGGTGGTAAGCTGGCTTCCTGAGCAACATGGCTGTGGCATTGCCCAGCAGAGGAAGATGGATGGAGCCGCCAAGGGCAGGTCGGCACAGAGAGCCAGGCTTGCTGGTGATCATCGGGTGGGAGCCACGATTTCCTGCCCAGGGCGGGAGGGAGCCACGGGAGGTGTGTGGTGGAGGGAGGGCTGGAGGATCAGCAGTGGGACCAGAAGGCAGGTGGGCAGGAGAGAGAGACAACAGAGAGGAGACGCACACACACAGTGACCCAGGCCTTGTGCCGGCGTTATATGAAGATTCACTCACCATCACCTCAGGCAGATGCCATTGTGATCCCCCTTCCACCGAGGCTGAAACCAGGCACAGAGAGGTAGACAGTGTGCCCAAAGTCACACAGCCCATGAGCCGGGATTTGACTCTGTGCTGCCTGTTCCTTCAGCAGCTGTCCCTGGCTCTGGCCTTCATGCTTCTGCCTTGGTTTCTCGCTCTGTTCAAAGGCTTAACCAATAGACGTTCCACCAGGGGATCGCTGTGAGGTGGTGCTGAGAACAAGCCAAACATCCACTAGAAACTGAACTGCAGCCTGACCGACGGGGGATCTGGAATTTTCTAGCAGCCACGTTCCAAAATGTTCAAAGAGCCCTGTGACATCACCTTCGGGGATGGACTTGACTGACTTCATCCGGGCAATTCGCAGCCACCGAGTCCAGTCCGTGACGACCCACAGCGACCCTGTGGGCACAGGGGACAGCCAGCCCTGTGGTTTCTGGGACGGCAACGCCTTCCAGGAGCAGACGGCCTCATCTTTCTCCCAAGGAGCAACTGGTGGCTTAGAACAACTGACCTTTCGGTTAGGCGTCCAACGAGCATCACCCTGTGCCGCTGGGGCTCTGGGGGAGCTGAAGGATGGTCACCGTGCCATGTCATCCGCAGCAAATGCGACATTTCACACACACACACACACACACACACACACCACCCCATACCTAGTCTTCACAGGGAGTCCCCAGTGAATCTAGCAGTGAAATGGTAGAATCCTAACCGGAAGGTTGGGGGTTCGGTTCGTGAAACAGCCCCCTAACCCCCAAGGCACCCTGGGGAAACACAGATCTGTAGATCTGCTTCTAAAAGCTCAGTCTTCAAGACAAGAGGGAGCAGTTCTATTCTGCCCCCATGAGGTCGCCAAGAGTCAGGAGAGATGTGCGCGAGCAGCTTGCAAGCCTTCAAAGCGCAGTGTGTCGGAGGAAGGCCTTCCAAAAAGTCTGTGGGAAAATGCCATCCTCTTCTCATTCCATTTAGCCACCAGCTTTTTGAAGGGACCCGCCCCCGCCCCTGCCCCCAGCCATAGCTTGTATCTAGACAGTCGGAGGCTACAGTTCCACCGGGCACGCTTGATCTGCATCTGTCCTGCAGGACATTTCTGACTGCAAAGCAGGCTTCCCAGGACCCAGGTGTTTGGGACCAGACCGGAAGTTTTCCAAACGTGCATGAGTGTCAAAGGCCCAGCCCTTGTTTCTGAGCAATCCTAGATTTCTAAGCTGCAGTTAAAGCTGGTTCCTCAGCTTCCCTGACCCATGCCCAGAGTGCGACAGCTCCCTGGGGTTGATGGGGAGCGGAGTGGTTAGGCGTTGGGCTGGTCAACCCGAGGTTAGCAGTTTGAAGCCACCCCACCCCCACCCCCACCCCACAGGAGAAAGAGGAGGCTTTCTAACGTCTGGAAAGAGCTACGCTCTTAGAAACCCGCAGGGGAAGGTCTACCTTGTCCTGCAGGGTCACTAGGAGTCAAATCTGCTTGATGGCAGTGAGTTCGGCTCCTGGCTTTTCAGGCGGTTGGTTGGTGGCACTCTCTTGGCCTCCGGAGGATGTAGAACTCTGCCCTTGCCACACACAGCGCTCTCTGGACAGCGCTCCTCTGGCACAGGGTGCTTGCATCTGTTGGTCCGTTTTACAGAGTAGCCTCCTGAGGCCCAGAGCAGGGAGTCTCGTCTGCCAGAGGACACATAGCCAGGCGTGAGGGGAACAACGGCAGTGAACAGCCGGCCCCCTTCTCAGCCCCTGGGGAGGAGGGAGGCCATGCCAGAAGCCAGCCTTGACCTCAGGCTGACTGGGAGGCCCTCTGTACAAAGCCCTCCTCGTTAATGAGATTGTATATAAACAGTCCTTTTTTCTACCAGCTCTGGCTGGGCTTGTCTGTGGATGGGGCAGGGTGGGGCTGCTTGAATGAAGGGTGGCCACACTTCATTCAACATGTGTCCTCGGGGGCCCTCCAGAGGCCCAGGGCCAGTGCCAGGCAGTGATGGGACCTAAACGGGGAGTCAGCTTCCAGCCTGGTCCATGAGGGAGAAGACTCAGACCTAGAGGGCCACGGAGGAGTTGGCGGCGGTGTGTTTTCAAGGAGGTGGCAGGGCATCGTGGGATCCAGCAGCAGGCACTGAATCTGGCCTGGGATGGGAGGAGGGAGCTGGGAGGGCTGAGTGCAGCAGCAGGGGGAGGCAGCTCCGCATGCAGAGACCAAGATGTTGGCAGGGGCACCAACTGGAGGAGGAGACTAGACACTGGGGCAGCCAAAAGACCCTGGGCTAATGGTTAGGGGTGCGTCAACTTTGGGGAAGTGGAGTGGAGGGAAGGTCATTTTAGGCAAAGAACCCAGCCCGTGTAATGTCAAGTCCAGAAAGCACAAAGCAGGCTTCACGGAGCCAAGGTGTTTGGGGCCGGCTGGGAGGCTTTCCAAACGGAATTGAGTGTCCGTTTCTAAAACACAACAGGCCCTTAGGGCAGTCCAGGCACCTGGAATTCATTCACAAGCGACATCGTCTCCCCTTGTTCTAGGGATGGAGGCCCTGAGGTCAAGGCAGGGTGGGTCCAGGTCTAGGTGACCAACACACCTTAAGGAGAAAATGAAGTCTTACTAGGACAGAGACAAAGCCACATCATCCAGATCAGGGAGGCCATCCGCATGAGGTCATCATAGCGCCCAAGGAAGAAAACGGACATCTTAAATAGGACATGATCATACAACGGGAACAGTCCCAGGAGCATGAGTGGCAGCCGGTCCATACATCACCGATGCAGGGGCCACTACATAACTGGGAACTAGGCAGTGATTGGGACAAATGGATTATACTGGAGAGAAGAGCTTAAAAGTTGGAGGGGCCAGGACCCTCCAACAAAAATAATGAAGGCATGATTCCTGACTATGTGGGCCCAGTACCCCAAGCTCCATCAAGGTCACATCCAGGCAAGCCCCTAAGGAAGGCTGCCACTTTCCGGAAGCTCTCTACTGGCAAGCCTCTTCCGGGTTAATGGTCAGAAGGAATTCAGGGGAGGCTTAATCCACGTGCATTCTGCAAATGGATTTTGGACTTCCCCCGTTCTCTGTAGCCTTCTGGAAACGTCAAAACTTAAAATAAAAAAACAAACCCCAAACTCATGGCCGTTGATGCTAACTCCCAGAGGCCCCATAGGGCAGGGTAGAATGGCCCCTGTGGGTTTCCAAGACTGTAATTCTTCACAGGAGTAGGAAAGCCTCTTCTTCCTCCCAAGGATGGAAGAGGGTGGGGGTGGGGGGTGGTTTCCAGTTGTTGCTTGGCCCAGTTAGCAGCCCAGCGCTAAACACCATGCTGCCAGGGCTCCTGATGCCACATCCACAGAGCGTAATTAGTCAGGTCTCCTTTGGTCTTGCCATTTGTTCCTTTAAAATCGCTTCGGCTGTGTAAATAATTAGCGTGTAGAGAGTCCCCGGACAACTCGAGAACACTTAACAGTTCACATCGAGGACAGGTTGACAGGAGTGCGCCTCTTTCCATGTAGGCATCATGGCCAGCCTGTGGCTGTGGGCTTGGGCCGTCCAGAGAGGCCAACTGAGGATGCCAACCTCGCTTGTGAGATCCAAACGGCCAAATATTACAGGTGTACCTCCAGGGCTTTGGCTAATGCGCTGGCAGCTGGGCCCCAACTAACTGTGTCCTGCTGGGTTCCGGGCCTGATGGAGCGCTTGCTTGGGCTTGCATCCCTAATGTTCAGAATCCAAGCTCCCTAAGACCCACTAGGCAGGGGATTCCCGACCACCTATACCTTAGGGAGGTAGGCCTGGTCGCCCCCTGCAGGCCAGTATATGCCTTGCAGCTTTCAGTCACGTGCGGGGCAGAATGGCGCCGCCCCTCACAAACATGGCGGGTAGTTCGCGTCCCTCGAAAGCATGGCCGCTCCAGTCAACGACTGCACGTCCACGTGATCGATCGCTGGGCACAAGATTGGCCACTGAAGTCCGCTTGGACCACGAGCCGGTTCGCCCCTTCCCCAGGTGATCCCGCCTCTAGTGGGCGGTGTAGGAGACGCTGCGCATGCGCGCCACACCCAGACCAATGAGAAAGCCGGAGAGCTGTTTGCGCCGCCCATGTGACATCACTTCCGGCGCCCCTGGCTGAGGGGATAAGAAACCCTGCGCCAGCGCTTCCTCCTTTCCCAGGCGGCTGCCGAAGATGGCGGAGGGGCAGGTTCGGGCTCCGCGCGGGTCGGGGTGGGTTCCAGCCCGGGATGGGGTTTCGAAGTGTCTGCATTCCCGTGTGGGCTGTGGGACGCGGCGCCTATAATGGCGTAGGAGACGGGACACTTGGCGTGAGGAGGGTTCGTCACGCGGAAGCGGGATTCGTGCTGTGCGTAGGCCCGGGGCGGGTGGGCCCATGGTGGGCCCCGCTTCCCTGGCGGTGATGGGGGCGGCTTCCGGGGGAGAGAGGTAGCCAGGGGCTTGGGGCCGAGCAGGCGCCGGGAGGAGATGAGGGAGCCCGCGGGAGGTCGGGCTGCCGCGGGGACGTGAAGCCGAGCGGGACCGGGGCCCCGAGTGCAGGTCGCAGCCTTCCTGGGTGGCAGGCTTGGCTGTCACTTCCGGCACGAGGTCTGCTCCTGAGAGGCGGGCTTCTAGGACAGCATTTGCTTTTCTTAAAGTTTTCCCCCAAGCTGGCGGGTCGCATCCAGTTTCGGCGCGTATTCAGTACGCTTCGCTTTTGCATTCCGCGCTCTTAGAGCCTAATGGCGTGCAGTGGGTTACGAATCTAGTGGGAAGCCTCCGGGTTGCTTCTGTGGAGATTCACAGCCGGGGAAACGCCTGCTACTCCATGCCCTTAGGGGTCGCAAGAGCCGGAACCAAAGGCATTGGGCTTTGGGGTAACCCATGCCGCCTTCCTAGAATTAAATGTATTTCCTCAGGAGTGCGCCCGAACCCATTTGTCCATAGGAAAGGATGGTTCTGGAAAGGGAGTCCTTGCTAGTGTTTCCTAATGCACGCAGTGATGGATGGCTAAGCTGTCTGGCCACGTGCCTAGTACCGTTTGCACTCCGGTGCTTGGGGGGTTGTTTCCCCTCCTGTAGCTGGGTGGAGCAGCAGGATGATGGGGCCCTTGGCGATTATCCTCCGCCAAAGTCACATCAGGAAGATTGTCTAGGGATTCTAAGCTCTGAGGCACAGCCTTTTTGGCATGGGGCCTGACTAAAAAGCCGAGATTTAGTATTTTTTAAAAGTTAAAAACCCAAAACTCAATCTATTGCTAATTTTGACTCATAGGGCAAAGTAGTGTTGCCCCCCATTGGGTTAGATTGCTTGGTTTTCGCCCAGAGTCTGGCTTTTATTTTAGGTTAGCAGCTAAGCGCTTAAGCCACTGTACAATCAGTGCTCCTTAAATATACAGTTGTTTGTATCAAATAATGAGAGGTGGGACAAGGCTTTGCTAAGTGATTGGAAAATGGTTCGCCAGTGGCTACATTTCTTCGGAGCTATTTAATGGCCCCAGATATCCACAGCCCTGGCCTTCAGCCATCAGGGGGGTTATATTGCTGTGCAGTGCACAGTAGAGCATCTTTGAAAGGAATCGATGGCTGTCCAGGTGCTAGAGCTTCTCTCGGGTTGGCTAGGCGGGGGTTCCAACAATTGAAGCCAGATAATGATACCTGCCCCCTGGGAGCAACCAAGAGGGAGGGGGTAATTTTTGCATGAGAGTGATAGTACGATTTAGCATTTTTCTCATCTCCGAAGTGGGGCCGGGAACAGACGAGTGGTGTCAATACTGGCATCAGAAAGGACTGTTGTGGGGGTGTGGTGAGTTGGCAAGGCAGGTGGAGGTTGCCGAGCCTGCTAACCGAGTTCTCCATCCTCAGGTCCTGGTGCTCGATGGCCGTGGCCATCTCCTGGGCCGGCTGGCAGCCATTGTGGCCAAGCAAGTGCTGCTGGGTGAGTACTCTGTCCACCCTGCCTGCGGGCTAGTACCCGTACCTGTCTGGTCAGTGATGAGCAAAAATCACCATCTTTCGTTTGAGTCTCACGACCATGAGACCAACCCATGCACCGCTCTGAGACCTGCCTGGCATTTGCTCCAGGAGCAGCAAGCCAGCTCTGTTGGGTGCCGTGACCTGGCCAGAGTGCCCCCCTTCCCTCCCCACCCAGGGCCTGGGCAGGTGGGGAACTAGGAGGCGCTGCCAGGTTGGTTTGATAACCACTTCCCCTCTCCTGGGTTGCTTCCCATTAGGCCGCAAGGTGGTGGTGGTGCGCTGTGAGGGCATCAACATTTCTGGAAACTTCTACAGAAACAAGTGTAAGTGAGGACTGGGAGGCAAGCAGCCCGTGGGGGGTTGGGTTTGGGGTTTTGGTCTGAGACTTGCTAGATCTCCTTGGCCCCTCCTCACACATGCACCACTCCTCCCACAGTGAAGTACCTGGCCTTCCTCCGCAAGCGCATGAACACCAACCCCTCCCGAGGCCCCTACCACTTCCGGGCCCCTAGCCGCATCTTCTGGCGAACCGTGCGAGGTGAGTTGGGCCCGGGCTATGCTCAGTCAGACGTGGGTAGGTGGCCAGTGATGAGGACTTCTCCCACTCAAGTTCGAGTTTCTGACAATGAGATAACCTCACATGCACTACCATCTGAGGCCACTCTGCCCCTACCCTGCGAGGGATTGAAGCTGGTGACATCCCCTTAGCTCTGCCCTTTTGTTGCCCACAGGCATGCTGCCCCACAAGACCAAGAGGGGCCAGGCTGCCCTGGACCGGCTCAAAGTGTTTGATGGGATCCCACCCCCCTATGATAAGGTGAGTTGGTCCATACCCCACTCAGCACCCAGGGGCCCAGGCGTCTGTGATGTTCCTTAAATCTACCTACATTGTTTGAACCCCATGAGAAGAGCTTTGGCTGAGACGCTGGCCCATCCTCTCAGCTGGTCCTCCCCTGTGAACCCCACTCTAAGCCCTATCTTTCCCCACAGAAAAAGCGGATGGTGGTCCCTGCTGCCCTCAAGGTGGTGCGACTGAAGCCCACACGCAAGGTGAGTGCTCGGGACTGGGCTGTGCATCTGACTGGAGATAGGGGCTCCCGGTCCTGGCAGGTGATGGATTACTCTCACGATGGTCTGCGGATGCCCGAGCGGGCAATGCCGAAAGTGCCAATGGCTCAGCTGATGCCAGGAACTGGGGCCAGAGCCCAAGTTAGGGGTTGGCTGGCTTTTCTGACTGGTAACTAACTGGCTCCTGGAGGTGATAATAGGTTCCCAGGATCCTCTTGAAGCAGGCATCGTACGTAGCTGTACCTGTCTCCAGGGTTAGTGCTTATTCCTCTTCACACTTGTGTTTCCTCCCAGTTTGCTTACCTGGGCCGCCTAGCCCATGAGGTGGGCTGGAAGTACCAGGCGGTGACAGCAACCCTGGAGGAGAAGAGGAAGGAGAAGGCCAAAATCCACTACAGGAAGAAGAAGCAGCTCATGGTAAGTGAGGACATGGCTGGGGGGTGTCACACTCTTTGACACGACACTGGCAGGTGATGTTCTTTTCTCACGATGGTCTTCGTATGCCCCTGGGGTTCTGCCGACACTGCCCAAGGCAATGCTGATGCCAGTGGCTGGGGTGGGGAACCTTTCATTGGGCTAGGGTGGTCACTTCAACTCCCACTGACCACCATTGGTTTGTCTCCCCTACAGAGGCTGCGGAAACAGGCAGAGAAGAACCTGGAGACAAAGATCAACAAGTACACAGAGGTTCTAAAGACCCATGGACTCCTGGTCTGAGCCCAATAAAGACTTAGTCCTTCACTGGCCTAGCTTGCCCTTCCTCCATCGCCATTCTGGGACATGGGGACACCCTCAGTCACAGCAGGGCTCAGGTGGCACAGAGTAGTAGAGTGCCCAGATCAAGCTCAGGCCCACAGCACCCGTCTGTGAGGTCTTTCCGTGAAGTCTGCAGCTATTGGCTGGAAAGCTTTTACACAAACAGCTGGAGCAGCCAGGCACTACCACAGCCAGCATCTGCCAGACCTGAGCTAGAAGACAGGGAGAGAACAAACAAGCATGTTGGGCATTGGCTGTAAATACTGGTTCAGCACTGTACTCTGCAGCCAGTGAAACAGGCCTGGAGCTTGTGCTGTGCCAGGTGCTCCTGGGGTAGAGACGAGTGGGATTCGTATGTGCAGGGCCACAGCACCGCCCTCACTGCTTTCCTGGTCTGTAATTTAAAACTAATAAATTACCTGGTGAACCAAGGTGGTGTCTTGCACTATGTCCGCTCCAGAGAGCAAGGGGGAGGTGTCTTGAAGGCTGCAGCCTGACAGGAAAGCATACTACATGGTGTTGTCTGGTGGCGACAGGAGCATCTTTCCAGTAGAGCTGTAGCTGCCTGTTTCTGACTTAGCTGCAAAGTGTGGGCTTGCCAGTGTTTTAGCCAATTCACCCCATCGCGTAATGCCACTGGATCAAGGAGTAAGGGCCACAGACGGTGATGGGAAGTGTGTAGATTCATCCCTCCAAGGCCCCCCACCTTAAAAATTGGAAATAGCAAACCACCCATCCCCTTGCTACACATTCACAAACTCCATCCAGTCTGCACACTAAGCACAGCCCTGTGTTTCAGGTACCATGACTACAGAAGAAAGCCTCTTGGAACTGCTGCTGGCCTTGTGGCTTAGCAACTCCAGGGGTGCCCCAATACACTACCTGGACAACTTAAGATACCTTGACCCCCAAACTCCAGTTCTTGATAAGAGACCAAGAAACCCGTCCAATAGATTGTAACTCCAGTGCTATAGGTCAGATTCCTGTGTGGTTTCCAGTCCAGTGCTCTGCTCAGCACTGGCTGGCTGGAAGTAGCACAGTTAGGTGTTTTGAAATAACTGGTAAAAGCAATCGTGCGTTTTAACCAAATAGAAATCAAAATTGGGTTCCTAAGATGGTTCTGAGGATAAGATGTGGGAGTTAGCTGGCCATATAAAATGTATTTCTTCCTATCTTGGTGTTTTTCCCCGTTATCATTAAGATCACAAGCAAGTATCTTTTGCTTGCTTTTTACTGAGCTTTTTAAAACCCAGGAGGAAGTCACACCTAATCCCACCACTGGAGGGGAAACCACTGGGACTGGGCATTTCCTTCCTGGCGGTTTTCTAAGTAACTTTTGTTGGTTATCACAACAAGTAAATACTTTGAAAGCCCCTTTCTAAATGGCCCCAATACTTCAGGGGGGGGGCGGGCATCCAAAACAAGTGGCAGGCTCCCTCCCTGACCTTGAATGCTACCCTCTGAGGGCCTGAGATAACATTTAAATTTTTATTACACCGACTCAAAGCTCACTAAAGGAATTTCAGTAAGTTCAAAGGAAAGTTTGTAGAATGCTTTGATCACCCCCACAAAAGACTTGGATATCCTTGTGTATGAGCTCGGGTTTGCACTAAACCTATGAGTGAGATGAGGTTTTCTTCTCCCATAAAGAGCTAACAGTCTCAGAACCCCACAGGCAGATCCACCCTGTCCAAAGGGTTATTGATGGCAGTGAGATTAGCTTCTCGGAGCAACTGGTGCCTTTGAAGTGCTGACTGCAGCCTACTTCAACGCACTACTTCACCAGGGGTCTTTCAGTGAGGAGGGGCTTATGGCTCAGGTCCCCTCATGCTCATTTCCTGACTGCCTTTGGCTGCAGGTGTGAGTTCCTGTCTCAGCACCAGTCTCCTGTATAATGGGATAACTATTAAGGTGGGGACGTGCACATTCTTATGGTACTGGGCAGTAAACATGATAACCCCCACTTAGATCAGGCCAAGGCTTCAGTAACGGAAGAAGCAGGAGATACTGTCTTGCACCAAGGTCGCAGTGGTTCTCAACCTCCCTAATGCTGGGACCCTTTAATGCAGTTAGTGTAGTGACTGCCTTCCCCCAACCATGACGTTATTTTCATTGCTACTTAACTCATTTTGCTACTGTTATGAATCAGGAGACCCCTGTGAATGGGCCGTTCGACCGCCAAAAGGCCCATGACCCACAGGTTGAGAACCATTGGGTGATATCTTGCAACAACACATCCTGGGACACTCGAGATGCCCATCAAGTGTGAGCTGAACATGAAACGGGCATTTTCTTTATATCAATGACTAAGAACAGGAGCCAAACAGCCTCGGTTTGAATCCCAGCTTGGCATCTCAATTTCTGTGGCCCCCAATTTTGTTTCATTGACTCCAGCAGTAAAATGGGTATACTGACAGAACCAAGAATCGTGAGGACTAAGCGAATACCGTGCTTACTACAAACGGGCACAGTGCTGACACACTGAATTTACAATTTTAAAATGACGGACTGGTCCAACATGCTGGCCACGGACCTACACGTGGCAGTTTATGTTTAGATCTAATTAAAATGTAAAAAATGAAAAATGAAAATCCCACGTGGTTCAGATCACCACGTTAGCAGCGTGCCCCGCAGAAAAATGGCGGTCGCCGCGGGTTCCGGTGTGAACACGGCAAGAACCAGCCACGCTGTCTCCAACTCCCACAAGATCCTGCGCCTCACATAACACGGGATTTCCTCTACGCCTCTCGCGATAATGGGCGCTTCCAGCCTGGCCACGCCCCCACGTTGAGCAAATGCTCCCGGCGCAAGGATGGCCAGAATCTCGCGAGGTCAACAGAGTCACGTTGCCACAGCCCTCCAATTGCGTGGCTGATTAGAACCATTCGCCAATCAGAGTTGCGCCTAAGGACCGTCCCAAATCCAGGATATCCCGCCTCCCTCCCACGTCACTTCCTTTCCAGACCTTGCGTTGCCGATTAGGGGACTCCGGCGGCTCCGCGGCCCTCTTTTTTCCAGGCGGCCGGGAAGATGGCGGACATTCAGGTGCGGGTTTGGGGCTAGCTCCTGAACTACGAGGTCCGCTCGGGGCTTCGGGGGCGCGTCCTCGGAGCCGGACCCCTGCTCTGCCGCGTGGGGTTCATTCTGGGTGTCGCCGATTCCCTAGACGTGAACCGTGGCAGAAGACGCGCATTAGATGGGCGCTTCCTAGCTCCTTGGGCGCCACGCTTGGAGCTTAAGGCGGGAGATGGAGCGTTTGCAGAACTCATCCTCTTGCAGTTAGCCGTCCAATGCGGACCCTCCAAGCCACCAGAGGCCCCGCTCATCCTCTTAAGATCTGCCATTGATGGATTGGGCGTTCTGGTGGTCTCGGATCTGGAGTGCTTATGTGGGAAGCCCCGCATGTAGGCAGGGGATTGGCGCCCGGAGGGGGCGGGAGGACCTGTGTGTCGGGGAGTAGACTCAGGTAAAAGGTGTCCACGGGCCTCGAGGGCTAGTTCTTACCCTCCGGGTGTAAGGGGTGCGCCCCGCAAGCCGCAGGAAGGATTTCGCATAAATGCTGACATAGCTTGGAGTGTTGGGTTCACAGTTGAGTGGGGGCCGGGGTGGTCTAGGTATCTTATGGGCGATTCCGAGGCGTGGAAGCGCATTGGCGGTAGGGTCTTGGGTCATCTGGATGCCGTGATTAATTTTCAGCAGGTGGGTAGGTTCAAAAGCTTGGGCGATCCGCCAGCGGGTGCTGTATAAGAAGAGACTTCTGCCTGCCCCATCCCTAACCGCTAACTTCATATCATCTCTCTGCAGACAGAACGTGCCTACCAAAAGCAGCCGACCATCTTCCAAAACAAGAAGAGGGTCCTCTTGGGGGAAACTGGCAAGGAGAAGCTCCCCC